TTTTAAAAATGAAACATTTAGAAAGATCCTTACCCTATATCAGCTGAGTATAACTGAACAAAAACATAGCTAATATCATTGACATAGTATTACTTGACACGGCACTGAACAAAGAACCAATCAAAGCACGGAATATGATCTGACCAATCACTGCCCACGGATCATTTTGATCCGGATCATTTTACTCTACGTCGCGAAAGCACCCCAGGGTAAATCTTGGCAGTTGTGACAACTTTTTACCATAGGACATGGGTTACCGACCGCAACTGTAGTTAACCGAGTAGTTCATAGATGTCAGCTGCATAGATCGATCTGCTGTACAGGCACGTTAAAAACAGAATCAAATAATCTGTTGCATGCTATGCATACATACGTTTCCGATAAATAATATGTATATCCAACTTTCTTAGGCGTTTTAGTTTTTACATGGATATGTATAGTAACGTAATTTCTTAATTATCATTGTGTATCTATCGCGTAAAAACAAATAAATTTCGATATTTGCGTATCTTTTTCAATAATATTTTATTAAAATTCTTTATTTGATGACATATTCTTTTCACGCTTACGTGAAAGCATTTACATTTCAACGCGTAGAAGAAGAGTTGGATCTACAGCGTTAGAAATTATACATACAAAAATATAAAGTCTACAATTATTCTTATAAAAGTTGCGTCATTATGCAAGAAATATTTTGATATTTCAATTGGCTACTTCCATCTGTGCCAGATCGTAAAAAAGAGGCGGTTACACTTGTAATTGATTTATATCTTAAAAGGACCGAGTTAAAATTTAGTTGTTAAAAAATCTGTTGCTGTACTTAAAGAAAATAAAATTAATAACTGAAGAAGTAATATTACAACAGTGGACTTCCACACCACCCTTGAGGTACCACTAAATGGCGCGTTAGGTTTTTTAAAGTGGACCTTCGCCTGTTGTATAAAAGGAGAGGAGCTCCTTTCGTATTTCGAGTTTCGCGCCCTTTTTGCTCTTTCATGCGGTCATGGCCGCGAGCGGTGAGGGCGCTGCGGAGAGCGAGTGGTGCCACGCGATTCGCTAATCTAGTTCTTCCTTTTCACACGAGTCGAGTCGAGGCGCACTGCGCGCAGAAAGTCGTGTGACTGTTGTCGTGTTGCGAAGTCGTGTTCCTACGAGTGCTTTTGTTTTTGCTGCTGGATCGGACCGCCACGATATCTCCTGCTCATACCGTTTTGGTAATTGTGACGGCGAATCGGAACTTAGGAGGATGGCTTTCGACAATCAGTGCCGATCGGAGGATCGGACGTCGGTCGAGCATCCTGAAAGGGAGACTGGGTACATTCGCGCTGAGGCGTCCCGAAGTGAGGTTGCGGTTACTAGCATTGCGTCATACTCTGCCATTCCTGGCAACAGGTAATTTCGGACCTTCTGGACGAGGCATGTTGTTCGTCCAAAGATCAAAGAGAAAGATTTCGATTGGTAGGCTCTGAGTACGATTTCTAGCCACCAATTTGATCTTTGGATTTCCAGAAGGTATTCTATTCACTGTATACACGTACATTCCTGTTATTCTTCTGAGAGTAGTTACGGTGACAACCATCACGTGCGCAGTTCGCTGCAATTACGAGAAGGTCGTGTGGTTCACCGCCGTAACGTGCAACACATTGAGCCGTGATCCGACGATAGAAACCGGAACGGCACCGAGTTTACCGAGTGGGCACCGAAGGAATCGCTTCAAGGGCGATCTGCCCCGTCGTACCGTAAGCATCTTTCCTCCCTCCCGCATCGCGGCCAGGTTCACAGGGACGAGGCAACTGAGAAGATCCATTCATGCATTTCTTTACTCATTTCTTTCTTTCGTTTAATTTAATATTGAAGTATACGCGACATGCTCGATAGAAACGCTCGTTCTTTTATGAACGGATTGAACCAGACGAGAGTAAACCTACTGCAATTCCTTTTCTTTTAGGAAATATTTCTTAACTCAAGATCAATCATCCTTCGTGAATCGTCTCAGTACCTCACGGTACACCTGTAGCCATATTATACCACATTTATAGACCTATTTTGCAGTAAAGCTCAATCAGATGTATTAAAATCATATTGGGTAAGAGCACACGCAGATGAAAAAATACATCAACGTGAGACCGTGCCCAGCATGTTATTAATGCATCTTATTTTTACTTTAGAAGGTGCTCGAAATGGCCCCCCTCCATCCTCTCACAAAATGTAGCCCTTTCCAAAAGTGAGCGACGCACCCTGCGTAAGATCTGTGGACTTATTGTCTGGCAAGCTCGCACAATTCGATCCTTCAGATCTTCAACGCTGACAGGTCGCGTTGCTTAAACCTGTTGCTTCAGATGACCCCACAGAAAAAAAATCTAACGGTGTGAGGTCTGGTGAACGCGGCGGCCATTCGCGGGGACCATGAAGACCAATCTAACGACTACCGAATTTGTTATTTAACAATTCTCTTGTTAACTTGGCAGTGTGTGCAGGATAGCCATCCTGCTGAAACCACATATTAATACGTAATTTCAGCGGTACATCATCCAACAATTCAACAAGTTCATTGTTGAGAAGTCTTCGGTATTCGTTGCCATTGACCTTACCATCAATGAAATATGGTCCAATGATGTCGTCTCCAAGAATACCCGCCCAAACGCTCACTGACCACCTGACCTGTGTATGCGCTTGCTGCATCCAGTGAGGATTCTCGGTGGCCCAGTAATGCGAATTATGGCGGTTGACGATACCATTATTATGGAAAGTACATTCGTCCGAAAACAGAATGTACTTAGCAAAATAAAAGTTTTCCTCACTCACATCAAGGAGCCACCGACAAAATCTTAATCTGCGAGGTGCATCATCTGCAAACAGCTCTTGAGTCAGGGTTACCTTGTAGGGATGGAAGTGAGCCGATTTCAAAGCCCTGCACACTGTTGCCTGGCAGACTCCTTGATTTCGCGCAATGGATCTTGTACTAATGTGTGGATCATTAGTAACCATTTCCAATATTGGTGCGGTATTTACGCGCGATTGTGGTCCTGTACGAAATATGAAAATAACGGTAAAGTGACAAAATATTTAAAATTATATTATCAGAAAGATTTTATAAATAAATATGTACCTGCAGGCTTAATAGGTCTGAATTGTCCATATTCTTGTAGCCGCGACTCCAGCCTCATAAAAGTCATACGATGTGGCTGTCTTCGTTCTGGATATCTGCGAGCATACTCTCTCGCAGTTTCCCGCGATCGTCGGCCGCACGCAGCGTACAGAAATATCATATCGCACATCTCATTATTCGTAAAATTGTAAGCCATGTTGACCGCACGTCTATCATGTATTACGAAGCACACAAGATGACAGTGAGACACGATATGATCGATTTCCTGGGCCGAAACTATAGAAACAGTTGAAAAAGACAGCGACGAAACAGCGACGGAAAAAAAACTTCATGCTCGGATTCTGTTGGTTTTTGTTTTTCCGTCGCTGTTTCGTCGCTGTCTTTTCAACGGTTTCTATAGCTTCGGCCCAGGAAATAGTTCATATCGTGTCTTACTCTCATCTCGTGTTCATATTTCGTACAGGACCACAATCGTAAATACCGCACCAATATTGGAAATGGTTACTAATGATCCACACTTTAGTACAAGATCCATTGCGCGAAATCAAGGAGTCTGCCAGGCAACAGTGTGCAGGGCTTTGAAATCGGCTCACTTCCATCCCTACAAGGTAACCCTGACTCAAGAGTTGTTTGCAGATGATGCACCTCGCAGATTAAGATTTTGTCGGTGGCTCCTTGATGTGAGTGAGGAAAACTTTTATTTTGCTAAGTACATTCTGTTTTCGGACGAATGTACTTTCCATAATAATGGTATCGTCAACCGCCATAATTCGCATTACTGGGCCACCGAGAATCCTCACTGGATGCAGCAAGCGCATACACAGGTCAGGTGGTCAGTGAGCGTTTGGGTGGGTATTCTTGGAGACCACATCATTGGACCATATTTCATTGATGGTAAGTGTTCCGGATTCAATTATGAATCTCGGTCTGTTCGTCACCGGCGTGATGGCAGCATCAGCCGGGTCAGATCGTGCAGCGCCACAGGGGCGCTGCGCGCGCATGCCCGATCGCGACGCGAGGCGACCGCGCGTCTTCACGTTCGTTTCCGGCGCCTTTTGGCTAATGGCTACGGTACGAAGTACACGCGTCGTGCAGTGCTAAGGCCATTAGTGTGCTCTCGTGGACTTTTCTCACCGAAGACTAGACTCAGTGTGGACAAATAGAGGACTCAACAGTGCGACTCGACTCAGGCAGCTCGGGATACAGCATCATCGGCGACTCAGGCTCACCACGCATCGCGCAAGCCGGCGCCGCGTGGACACGGCTCACGGGCATCTACATCGCGAGGCCGGTGTTCGATCAATAATATCGACCCGTGCAAGTGATTTAAGGACTTCTCATTCAACGCTTATTCATAGACTGCTCACTGTAAGCTTCTTTCATTTATTAAACTGGGACACGATACTTTTATCCAATCTACACAA